AAAAAATATCGAATCACTGGTACTGAATTCCATTTCGTTTAAAATAATACATTTAATATTAATAAATATAACCTTTATTTCAGACAAAACACCGACTATCTGGGATGATTATTTCCATAAAAATCAGGCAAACATGAGGTACAGATACTTTATAGACATGCCAGATCACGTTTTTGAACATTTTAAGCAGAAGGACGTCGAACCGAGGTTAGTGGATATGTATAAAGGGATGGCCATATACGAAGTACCGTCGAGCGCTGTGGAAGACGAAGCACAATTCAATTTCAACGGAGATATAGCTGCAGACTCGTACCACAAAACAGACGTCGATGTCCAACTACTCAAAGAATTGGGTGTTAGTACCGAACCTACTCAAGGAACCATCTCAATCAGAATAACAGAATAATATTAATTGGAACTACATTTTCAGGTTAAAGTTTACCGTTTTACCATATCTCCTACCCGAATCATTCCGGAAGTGCACGACCACTTGCCGGGACATGTGGGAATAAAATACTACAATAACCTAATTGATAAGTTAGTGGAAAACGGAATAACACCAGTGGTAAATATTATCGTTTTTTTTTTTTCTTCAATGATTTACTTATTGACGCGATACTATGAAAATATATGAAAATCTAGAAAAATAGAATAATAAATAAAAACGTTTTACCTAATAATAACAAATTATACATACTTGGTTGCACAGATAAGCTTAGGTTTTTCAACGTTTAAGACTATACAATTTCATTCTCATAAGTGTCACATATAATATATAATTTTATATAAATTTAAAATAATATATATGTCAGGGCTAATTTATCATTAATAAATTCTGATTTTTTTAAAAAAATAAAAATAATATGTAATATTACCTATGTAAATATATATATTTATAGTACAGATGAGATTTGTATATTTTATTAATATTTCTAACAAAAAGTAACTTATATCTCTCTTGATAACAGGTTATCTAACACATAATCTCTAACAGGTTAAATGTTAAATTCAATTTTAAAAGATATTATTGAAAATCGACAAATTAATTTTAAAAAATATACATTTCTTCTAGTACTTTTTTAATTAAATGTTCACGTCGATTTTTAATTATGAACTGTATTGGCTTAAATATGGAGACAAAATAGTTGGTTATATTGATCTTTTATTTTTCTTTAGGTTAACCATAAAATATTCCAATAGTCTTAATGAATTTTACCCAAAATATGTTTATTTAAAAAATCAAAAATATAAGTAAAAATTAATTTCACCTAATGAATAAAAAATATTTAAAATATTTGTTATTCCCACGAAAACTATAACACCATCGGTCGATGGATATATTTTCACATATACATGAACAATTAATAATATTATATTACAATACGTACTAACAGACAATCAATGAGTCGACATAAAAATTTGTTATTTTCTTTTTTACATTATAATTTATATTCTGATATCATCTGTATTATTTATCTGTATACAACTATGTAAGCTTATGACAAGTTAGACTATAGATAACATTGGTAACCAATTATCACCTACTATAACAATAATTATTAATAATGATTGTAAACCATAATTTCAGGTACATATGTATCATTACGATATAGGTGTAGATTATAACATTATTGGAGGGCTGACGAACAATGCAACATATGAGTTCCACGAAAATTACGCCAGAATATGCTTTGAAAATTTTGGAGACCGAGTAAGATAAATTTTGGTTATAAAAATAAAAATACTGATGCTTTGAAATATTTTATTACAATCGATCGATATCAAATATGAAAATATAGGTGAAACATTGGATAGGAACTTCTGACATTTGGTTAATCGCTGAAGGGTATAGTTCCGAGCATTTCGCTCCTGGCTTTCAGGAAAAATCATTCAGCGGATATTCCGATTACCAAACACTTCATCAATGTTTACTTTGTATGGCAAAAGTATCTAAGATTTACAACACAGAGTTTAAAGAAAAACAAAAAGGTGATTGATTTCGTATTACATTGGTGTAAAACGGCAAATGAATCTGATGATTAAAAAATATTCTATTCAATTTAACGATAATTTATTAATGTTAGTATACTACTACTGTTTTAGGGCAACTAGGTTGCTGCGTTGACACAATGTGGTTTTATCCACAAGATCCAAACAATCCGGAACATCAAAAGTGCGCTGAACGTGCACGAAAATTAACGGTAAATTCTAATATACTTCTATGTAATTTATTAGTATCACTTTTTATATTATTATTAGTTTGGTGCTCTCATGGATGTCTTCAGAACGGGTCAATATTCGAACGAGATGTTGGAGAGCGTCAAGGCGACTAACGAACGGGAAGGAATACGGGTTGATCGTATTAAACAATTTACGGCGCAAGAACAAGAACTAATTAAAGGTGAGTAAAAATCCAATGTTCAAATGTTTTAAACATACACGAATCATATATAAATAAAGGAATCCAAATCCATACTTCTAATTATTGTTTATTAATGATAATGACAATAACATAATGCGCAATTGTAACCTTGACTGTAACACAAAATAGACAAAAATACCAATATCAGTGCCCTTCAAACAATCACAATATACGCAGAAAATTTGAAATTTATTAAGCATATATATATATATATATACTTCAAAAATATGAAATGTTTAATAAAATCGTTACCCATTTGATAAATAGAAAGTGTTTCAGTCCGCTCTCTACATTTGTAATACACCCTATGATTACTTAATAAGTTTCCTATTCACCATCCTTTATCACTCTTATCACCCAAGCTATTCTATTCTCTCACATTTTATG